GAATGCTCGAAAGCATCTAGACTACTGCTAAGCGCAAATACCCTACCCAACCTTCTGGACACGCATCCACCCTTCCAGATTGATGGCAACTTCGGTGCTGGTGCTGGTATCTTGGAGATGCTAGTGCAGTCACACGAAGTGTCATACGGCTTTTGCCCGCTTGTCCGGATGAGTGGCGAACTGGAAAGATTCGTGGAGTTCGAGCACGTGGGGATTTGAACTGGATTTTGGATGGAAAGAGGGGGAAATCTGGGACCAGTTATCGTGAAGTCAGAGCTGGGACTTCGGACAGTGATCTATTACCCCATAATGGACTGCAAAAGGGTCGTAGAGGGTTCGGGTGTTATTATTCTTCCCGGCGAAGATATCAATTAATCATATATGTCTGGAAGATGGAAGTTTTCTCGATTGTCTCGTAGGGGCCATTTCTACACTTCGGTTGCATGGATGACCTGGAGCCATACTGGAGGCAGAGAAGCTCCACAAAACATCCTGAAGTCAAAGCTGCACTTAGTATGTGCGACGTGCTGGCGTTAGTAGCTCTAAAAGCTTCATCTCCATTCCAGCCCCTCTTTCTCAGCCGCCGGAAAATTAGTCGCGGATGTTTTCCAGCAATCAGGGACCCGCATCTAATAGCCAAGCTTTCATTTATCCGAATAAAGACCCGAATGGCCAGGGCTGGTAGTTGGAGGCGTTGACGGTTCCCTTTTTAGCTCTTTCCTCGAAGGCCCCAAGCTAAGACGATGCAATCTAACCGAAGGAAAAAAAATCTACAGAACAGAAAGAGGCGCAAAGAGAAATCATGGATTTGACTTCTGTTCAGGGACCTCAAGGTGTTCTTCGCAGCGACTTCTTCACACGGCTATGCCACAGCAGCCCCACCAAATTGAGGAGCCTGGAACAAAGATGGCAAAGGCTTTCGATCTGGGACACCTTTGGTCACAAACCAGGAAAATCAAGGACGCGTACTGCGGACGATGCAGTGCGGTCCTATGACTTATATCGGAGGATATCGCCTTGATGAATCTTACGGAGTCAATGGCTACAGATTTTCTCTGTCCTGGTCGCGCATCATTCTCTTGGAGGCGCAGAGATCCCGTCAACGAACAAGGTATCAAATTCTAACCAGGATTTGATAGACGAAATGCTCCGCAACGGTATTACACCATTTGTGACCATCTTTCACCTGGGATGTACCCCAGGCTCTAGAGGACCGATATGGAGGCATGTTAAACAAGGAGAAGTTCGTTCCTGACTTTGTTCGTTTCGCGCGCGTCTGCTTCGAGCACTTGGCACCCGCGTGAATACTGGATTACTTTTAACGAGCCCGGAGTGTATTCCACTACCAGGGTATGCAGCGGGTGTCCATGCTCTCTGGACGCTCGTTCCTAACCGGCGATCTCAATGAGAGGGCGACTCCTCTACAGAGCCTTTATCATCGTCAGCCATACGCAGCTGATAGCTCATGCATACGCTGCGAAGTTGTACCGAACGGAATTTCAATCCGAGCAAAAGGGCACAATCGGAATCACCCTGTCCGGCAACTGGTCAGAAGCCTGGGATGAGGATGACCCACGCGACCAGGAAGCTGCCGAGAGAGCCCGGGAGTTTGAGATCGCCTGGTTTGCGGATCCTCTGTACACGACTGGCGATTACCCTGCCTCTATGAGGGCCCAGCTCGGTGATCGTTTACCACACTTCACGCCCGAGGAATCGAAGCTAGTGCTAGGCAGCTCTGAGTTCTATGGTATGAACTCCTACACAACCTTCTTCATGCAGCATAAGGATACTCCTGCCGATATCAATGACCACAAAGGCAATGTTTTCATCCACGACACGAACAGTAAGGGCGTCCCCCGAGGAGAGGAGTCTGACACGCCTTGGCTGCGCATGGCACCAGCTGGGTTCCGTAAGCTGCTCAACTGGATCTGGTCAAGGTACCACATACCCATTTATGTCACTGAGAATGGCACTACTGCAAAGGGTGAGACAGCGCCAACATCGGAAGTGCTCAATGACACCTTCCCGCCAGCGATTTTTCGAGGGGTATGTTGGTGGTCTGGCACGAGCTGTCAAGGAAGATGGCGTGGATGTTCGCTCATACTTTGCCTGGACATTTACCGACAACTTGGGGTATGATTCCCATCCATATCTCCGTGTCCTTATTTTGAAGAAACTAACCAGAGTAGAATGGGCCGCTGGTTACACTGATCGATTTGGATGCACTTTTATCGACTATGGATTCTCCTGAGAAGACTCGCTACCCGAAGCAATCGGCATATTATCTGGAAGGCACTGTTTGAGCATTTGATTGCTGCATGATGAAATGAGATGATAGAAGCAGAAAGAAGGGGTATTTCTAATCCGGGTGAAACTTGAAGAAGAAAGAGAAGGAGGGGAAAAGGAAGGGGGGGGGGGAAGAAGAAGAGGTTATACCTAGAACAAAAACACATATATAGATAAAGTGATACAAGGTATATACAGCTCGTATAAATACAGACACTGTATTTGAAATCCTGTTACACTGTAATCAGTTGTTACTTCACGTGTGAAAGCGGTATCTCACAGCAGAATAACTGCGGTTTCCCAAGAAATTCCTGGATAGCTTCATCTTGGCTCGTTGGGGCTAATTGTCCACGAGTCCAACATCACCATGCTGTCCGTATCCCATAGGGTCTGTATTTACTGCAGACTCTCTTGTCGCTCTTTTGCCCTCCATCACGCGTCCTCCGACTGCCCCAAACCCAGTCCGACGTCAAACATATCCGGCAGAACCCCGAGCTCTATGCCCAGAATTGTCGCGACCGCAATTACCCGTCACACGCAGATTATCCGTTGAAAGATCCAGCAACTCTCAGATGAACTCCGTCAGATTGACCACCAACTGCAACCGTCACGTTCACGGATAAAGGCCCTCGGAAAAGACCATTGCGAAGCTCCAGCATCAGGCCCACCGAGCCGCAGAACAAAGACCAGGAGGCCGCTCTCCGCGCTGAAGCCCAGAATTGAAGGATGAATCACTCGCCCTAACAACGCGCAAGGCATCCTGCACGGAACAGGTCCAGCAACTTGCCCTCTCTCTCCCAACATCTCCTCTTCCCACACCCCAATCGGCTCCGAGCCTACCCTCGTTGAATATCTCAACTTCGACGCCCAGTCACCACCCGCTTGGGTCCATCGCCCCGATCCATCTCGTTCACACGTTTCCATTGGATCTACTCTGGCCTCATCGACTTTGCCAGCGCTGCCACCACGACAGGGTGGGGGTTGGTACTTTCTTATTGGGGACGGGCTCTCCTCGAACAAGCTCTGATACAATACGCCCTGACGGTTGCCCGGCGCTATGGGCTGGACCCCCGTCTCCCCTCCCTCAATTGTCTACTCTTACGTCGCAGAGGCCTGTGGCTTCCAACCCCGCGACCAGAACAACGAACAACAAATCTGGGCCATTGAACAATCTGGAAAAGGACAGGGCCAAACCCCAGCGCTCGCTCGCGCCACCGCCGAAATTCCTCTGGCCGCCATGCACGCGGGTCGCGATCTCGAACCCTCCACTCTACCCCTCAAACTAGTGGGCCCCAGTCGCTGCTATCGTGCCGAAGCCGGCGCGCGAGGCGTAGACACTAAGGGCCTGTATCGTGTGCACGAATTCACCAAGATCGAAATGTTCGGCTGGGCGGATAATGTCCCCGCCTCGTCTTCGATACCTTCTTCAGACGATCTCTTTAATGAGCTCCTCACCATACAGAAGGAGATCCTGACATCTCTTCGACTTCCCTGCCGCGTTTTGGAAATGCCCACCACCGACCTCGGGGCCAGCGCCAGCCGGAAACTTGATATTGAGGCCCTGTTCCCATCCCGCATGCGCGGTGAAACCCTCGAGGATGCCTGGGGAGAGGTTACCTCCGCCTCCATCTGCACTGATTATCAGTCTCGCCGATTAGGAACTCGCGTCCGCGGAGGTACGGCTAAAGACTCTCGATTCCCACATACAGTCAACGGGACGGCAATCGCGGTACCCAGGGTTTTGGCCGCGATCTTGGAAAACGGATGGGATGCAGAACGCGGGGTGGTTGTTATCCCCGAGGTCTTGCGACCCTGGATGGGAGGTATGGAAGTCATCGGTAAATGACATCGTAACCTGGTTTCTATCACGGATGTATTCAATACCGTAACTGTAAGATATAAATCATATTGATTCTGTACATTAACTCTGACCTGGAAAACGAAAAAAAAAAAAAAAAAAAAATAGATGTTTGCAAATATGACGAGTACCACCAAGATCTTCTCGAATACAGTACACCAGAATCCGAGGCGGTCGTAAATAGTTTAACCAACTGTATTTTCATAACTTCATTATTTTGGCGTAACTGTCGTGGGGCAGTAAGTGTAGAAGAAGAAAATAACAACAAGCCGAGATGGGAAAAGAAAGGAAGTATATAATAATGTAGGTCAGGGAAAGTCAATCAAATCATGGGCGGTCATCACAGAGGTCATAATAAAGGGCAAAATATCATGGAACAGAACGTTCAGGGTATCGATCATTCATTTCGGTCGTAAATTTATTCCCAAGGAATATCTTCGTCTTCAACTTTGATGCACGTTAGATACGGAATAGAGTCGTTGAATTCGCCGGCTTTCAGATCTAATTCGAGGAAATTGCGCATTAGTGGTTTCACGATTTCACGGGCCAGCCGTTTGATTTCGTCCATTTTGCGCTCAAACCGCTTAAGGACCTCTCTCGTGTACAGAGATTCGGCAGACGGGGTTGGGTGGACCTTCAAGAACTTCTTGAGCTCCTCATGTGGGAGGTAAGCCTGGGTCGACGTGGAGCCAATGAGCCGATAGACCCGGGCCGAGGAGACCGGGGTAGGAGTGGCCGAAGACGGGAGGAGGTCTGTCGGTCTAGGCGCCGACGGAGTCGTAGGCGTTGACGCAGCTGGCCCACGGCTGGAATGGTTGCTGCTGTTGTTGTTGTGTATAGAATGCGAGTTGTTTTTGAGAATTGAAGAAGGGGGGGGAGTAGTACTATCCACGAGCCATTGGCGGAAAAGGGAAACGGCAAGCCAGTCTAGATATGCATTGTGGGGGGTGACACGTTCACCGCGAGAAGTGGTTAGAGTTAGGCGCAGCAGCTTCGAGTCGATGCGTGCCTTAATATCTTCGAAGTCCTCAACCTTGTCTTCAACAATGTCCAGGACCGCGTGGGGAAGCGGGGAATAGGGTCCGTTTCGGAGGTGTGGTAGTCCAGCCGGCCATTGGCCTACGACGTGGATGAGGGCCTCCGAGAAGATGACACGACTTCGTGCAAGATACCCTAGCTTTAGGTAGCTTGGCGGGTATTTGGCAATTTGTTTGAATAGTCGAGATCCGAATCCCAAAAGGTGATGGTCCACACGGGGCCCGGTGACAGGTAAGGCATCATACATGTCTGCCAGGGCCAGAAGGGCCTTGCATTCAGCATAGGCGGTCGCGATGTTGATGTTATTAATGATCGGCGGGTGATTATAGAATAGGCGGAACAGGTTATCATAGTCACGAAGTGTGGGATCCATCGCTGCGCCATTGGCCGTACCTGTGTTTGCTGCCGCCGCTACCGCACTGGGCCTATGTGGCAGATTCATTACGGACTGCATGCCAGCCAAGTTTGCCATGGAACGAGCGAATCCGGTATGCGTGCTTGATGGCTTGGTCATTGACGGCGCGTACGGTCCGAAATCACTCACAATGGTACCAGAAGCACTGGGGGGCTAGAATGCCCCAACAATTGTGTAAGCCATGGTCTGGGGGGGGGGGGGGGGGAATACCAACCTTTTGCACCAGAATTGGCTCTTCATCCTCTGCTTTGTTTTCCCAGTCCAACTCGTATCGCCACCGTTTCTTCTCGGACGAAGATTGAGCGGCACCGACCTCGGATTGAGCCAGAGTTGATCCATTGGAAAGTGATGAAGTATCCCCACTGATCCTCGACAAAGCAGTTGAATCCAGATTGTTAGAGGGCCGACTGGAGAGAGGTTGTTGTGGCCACTCTTCCCGAGTGCTAGCCTCAAAGAACCCCGAGCATTGTGTGAGGATAAGCCGGTGTAGGAGATATCGATTTTCCCGACCGCCGGCGCGAATCACGATCTCGACATCGCCAGTATGTGTGAAAATGGGGAAATCATTCTGAGGCTGGTGGACTGGTCCACCATGATGAGAGCGACTAGAACGGTGTCGCCGACTGGTCTGGGAGTGACGCGATACTGTCGAGGGAGCGCCTTGCGCGGGCATAGAGCGATCGAGGACTTGGGCTTGAGAGACCATTTCTGAAGGTAGAACGGAAATGGGCGACTTGGTTGGCATGGTAAGAGAGTGTGCGGTGGCCAAACACCAAAGAGTGTGTTGTGTGCGTCATTCGACCGCGCAACACACACAGGGAGAGAGATCTGGAAACAGAGGGCCTCCACCAGCGAGGGAGATAACAGAGGAATAGGGAGCGGAGGGGACAAATCCACAAAAGCGACAGACCAGAACTATAAGAAAGGTTAGTCACAGTAAATACGGAAAATATTCGCAAAGTCGGCAGCAAGACATTATCAGGGAAGGTTGGGAAGGTGAAACAAATACACACACAAACACATACACACCAAAGGATGGCAGGGTCTAGGAGATGTGATCCATGGCTTGAGTTGTGGCGGACTCTGGAGGATTTATTGATCTGAAGATGATTTGTTGTGGTTGAGAGACAAGAATCACGGGATATAGGTATGCTTTGGGCTTGTTTTCGGCATGTACTGGTACAGTGAGAATGTGTATTGTATTGTATTGTATTGTACTGTATTGTATTGTAATATCCCGCGATAAAAAGAGTTCCTTATCAACAATCAACACGTGACCAATGGGGACAGCTGACCCACTAGTCCTCCTTTGGAAGGCGGTGAAACCATCTGCCACTACGCCACGCTTCCAGGGGATTTCGGATATTTCATCATCGTGGATCCTACCTCCCTAAGGTACTCCGTATTTCACCCAGAAAGAGGGATGCAGAGAAGACGAAAATGTATACAATCCAATAGAAATACACCGCTTTTCCCCCGGAGGCTTTTGCTTTTCCCCAAAGGGGGATCGCCAATTTCGTCTCTCCGCGGGCTCATGATTATAGTCGCTTTTCCTCAATTCTTCCTCACTTTGGCTTTCTTTGCATTGGGGTTTCATTGGGGTTTCCCCCCCTCTCCTGACTGTGCTTATCTGTATTCTTTCTATCTACTAACCTCCCTCCATCTCCGCTCTCCTCTCACTTCCCTGCTCTCGCCCCAGGATGGGGAGTGGTGGTGTCATGCTCGGATACTCTGGTCGAGACGTTTTCGCTCGGTTGTCCTATCCTAATCCAACGCCATGACCAAAGGTTGCTATACCTGCCGTCGCCGCCGCATCATCTGCGACAATGCACTCCCCACGTGTCGGAAGTGTCGGGGTGCGGGGAAAGAATGTCTGGGGTATCAGAAACCTCTCGTTTGGGTCAAAGGGGGGGTCGCCAGTCGGGGCAAGATGATAGGTCTCAGTTTCGACGACGTTCAGAAGGATACCGAGACACAGGATAATTTGTCCACTTCCGCCAACTTTCCCGAGAATGCGGAACTTCTGCATCCATCGAGTCTCCCCACCACCACAGGTGGAGACAGAAGCGGAATGCGCCGATCGCCACCAAGGGGCTCCTGTGGCTGTGAATCGTGTTCCGATACCTTGGGTCCTGACGGATCCGCTGTTCAAGGACTGCAGTCGCATGTCCAGGTTTTATATTGATCATTGTATGTTGCTGATGGGTCTTGCCTGGTGCAATTATCTTATCTAACTCTTTTTTTCCTTTGGCAGTCAATCACAACGTCACAAGGTATCTCGCTTTATACTCAGACGTGAGGAATCCGTTCCGAGATCTTATCCCCTTAGTCAGTGATTCGCCTGTCATCTCTTACTCCCTCGGCCACGGGAGCCCTTCACCATGCTATCCTCGTAAACGGGGAGTTTTCCCCCATGCCGTGGTCCGCGGACAGGTTATCGACCAGTGGAATACCCTCACCTCCCGAAGAGGCTCCACCAACTGAGATTAGCTCCCTGGTCCGACGCCCATCAACAAGATCATATGAACATTTCCTCGGTCTCAAGCAACGTGCGCTCCATCAGCTATCGCAGGATATTTGCGATCCCGTCATGCGAAATGACAACATGACACTGGCGGCAATTATGGTCTTTGCCCTTATGGACGCCATCGAATCCGGGCATGCAGCGTGGAAATTCCATCTGGAGGGGGCCAAAAAAATCATCCAGAATCGCGAACACGACCCGACAAGCCAGGCACGAAGAATGATGAACTGGGTGGACGATTTTGCTACTGATGGATGTCTTCTGTATGTTTCTCTCTCCTCAGTTGCCGCCCGATTTATGGAATTTTTTTTTTTTTTTTTTTTTTTTACTCATATTCTTCTCCAGAATCCAACTAATGGGCTCTACGCTGGCTCGACCCGGTTCGCTCTCGAAGCCGTTTTACTCTTCCGCAATGGGCTTGCCGGTTCTAAAACGTCTCGAAGAAACGTCATGGGTAGGGTGTCCCGCCTACCTGCTTGAAGCTATCCTCTTGGTCCATGCCTTCTTTGATCTCGAACCGGATGCCAACTCCTCCCCACATGTCCCCGAAGGCTCAAATCCACTCCAATGTCCCGACAAAATCACCCTGCACATTCAAGCCTTTGACCCCGTTGCCTGGGCCGAATCGCTCCAGAGCTACCTTTACCTCCCCGACCTCTCCATGCGGATCGCCC